TTATTATTGCATCTCACATGATTTTGATTAATTAGTATATCGGAAGCCCCAATGCCCCGTGCCCCTGTGCCCTAAACCCTAATGATGTCATTTTATGACAAAAATATCAAGGCAAAAAAATTTACATGATCATATCACATGATCAATAACATAAATTCCTAAGCGACGTATAACATTAAACAATATATAACACATTAAATTTTATTGTAATTATTTCCTCAGTTTATATAAAAAATTTTTATTACTCCAAAAAATCAAGATAAAATTTGTAAAACTATCCAAGAATGATTAATAACATTAATTTGAATTATATAAATGAAAATCTACATAAATATCTAGTTTAAAATAATAGACCACTCGTGAGGTATCTCACCATATTGTATCCCCATCAATGTGTCAGAAATTCGCCGAGTCACAGGCCCTGCATTATTTGAAGCATCATTTGGATCTAAAGGCACTTTTAAGTCTTGTCCACGATAATTAATTTCCTTAATGGGGGTGACAATACATGCAGTACCAGAACCAAACATCTCTCTCAAACGACCCTCTTTCAATGCATTTACTACCTCGTGCATGGTAATCTTACGTTCTGAGACTTTGAACTCTTTCCATGTCCGAGCAAGCTGTAATATAGAATCACGAGTCACTCCAGCAAGAATGGTTCCATCTAGGGACGGCGTCACAAGTTCGGTTTCTAATAATAACCAATTTTAGAATGTGCTATGTCTATATATTTTCGTCAAGATAAAAAGTTGAAAAATAATATCATACCACCATTCTCATTATCTAAAAGAACAAAGCAATTCATCGTGCCCACTTCTGTAATCTCATCATCAGGACCAAATAACCACAAATTTTGTTGATATCCTTTTTCGGCAGCTTCAATTTGCGGTTTAACACATGGTGAATAGTTTCCACCAATTTTAGCATCACCAGTTCCACCAGGCCAGGCTCTTACATTTTCAAATGTAGACAATAATTTAACAGCACTAAATCCTGTCTTGTAGTACGGGCCGCAAGGAGAACAAATAATAAATAGAATTGCTCTAGAATTAGGCCCTACTCCTAAA